TATTAAAGAATAGATGATATTATAGAGAGCAGTATAATAGTGTTTGTCTATTTACCTAAAGCTTTAGACCAGGAAGTTTTATGTTACAGACGATAAGACCAATACTGAATAATTATTTAGTTTTACATATTACAAAAGTGTCTAAGAAACCGATGAAAGTTTATGAAATAATTATTTATTTTTTAACAGGCGGAATGTGATTTTACCCAAAAAATCTAAAATTACGACATGTTTATAATGAGTTACTCGGGGATATATAAATCATGTAAGTACTTATAATAAGTATATTGTACAACCCGTTCAATCATAGCTGTCATAAAGTAATTTACTTCCTAAATCTTCAGTAGTTCAGTTAGTCTAATGGCGAAATAGACAACATAATTTTCAATTTATAAAGATTTTATTTATTGTGTTCATGTGGATATAGGTGGAGTTTGGATTATTATAAGGTTTCGAAATGGCGGTAAGAGTTTCTATTTGTTTTGTATTATTAGCATTTAATCTTTAATAAGATGATTATAGGATTCAGTTATGAACATTTGATTATACTATAATATAGTGTTCGTAATGGTATATGTGTATATGGCTACAATTCGTCATCCATTGTTACAGTACACCATAAATAAAAATGATTACTAAATTGATATACATGTATAGGGCATCCGACCACTCTTATCCTTTAATTGTCTGGATTTGTCCAGGGATACCATTGGAGAAACCGATACGCCGAATAAAAAAATAATATCTTTGGATTTGTCTGTGTTGGTTTACATGGAATTTAAAAAAATAGTAAGAAAAGGCGTTATTCATATTATTAAATTTTAAGAGGATCGATTTACATAATTTTGTCAGATCAATGTTGATTGATTCGGCTGACATTACTGGTTATTTGAGTTGAATGTGTAGACTATTTTAGAGAGAGACTGTCTTTTTTGTTTTCACTAAAGTGTAGACGAAACGCTGAGATCTCTGATGCAAATAAAAATGAAGTATCGTTCCTATCATCAGCTATCAACCAACTAACGTTTTGTACTGTAGTCGACGGACAACCTTTGAATTCTCTAAGCTCCCTTAAATCAAGAAAAGTTTGCTAAAAAAAAAATAATAAATAAAAGTAAAAAAAATGATACAGAATTGCAGTATTCAATTTCCAATGATGTAATGCTGTTTTCTAATTTCCAATAATGGAATGCTGATTTCCAGTTTCCAATAATGGAATGCTGATTTCCAATTTCCAATAATGGAATGCTGATTTCCAATTTCCAATAATGAAATGCTGTTTTTCATTTTTTTTTTTAAACGGGAGACAATGTCTCAATAAATGCTTGATTAGAAAAGAGAAATTGAACCTTTAAAAGTTCTACAGTTTAAACGTCACGATCCTAGTTTCAATACTTTTAATTGAAATTTGAGGTTGTATTTATAAAAGTATCTTAATAATTGACATAAACTGAAATAGCCCAATTCATGTAATGAAAAGTCTATCATTTTCACATCTAAGGTAATCCTATGTGACGTCACGAATATACCCCCAAAGCCAATTTCTGACGGATATAATTATATACTAATTTATTTACATTTATCTGTAGGTCTATTATATAAGATATTTAATAGAAATATCTATATAAATCATTGGAATTGGGCATATTCAACATTGACCTGTAATATTGCAAATTTAATGTTACATTCTCGATTTAAATATCCTCACACCCTCTCGTCGACCAAACTTTATTGTGGCTACTTTCCGTGGAACACCCATTGACATTATGGAAATATTAGCTGATGCCATACTGTTGTTCTTGATATATGATATGCATGTATTATTGCTCGGTGCCAATTTTGGCCTGAAGCTGTGACAGTGTCATGTACGAGAGTGAGTATGCTTACTCTAACCCTTTGCTTAAAGTTAGATGGTTCCCATAACAGACAGCTTAGATTGTGTACACTTTGTGGTGTTATTCCGCTTTGTGCACTTGCTGGGTTCTTTTGTGGTGTTGAACTGCATTTGGGGTTTTTTTTGTGCGAGGTTCTTCTCTTGGTATTTTAATACTTTAATTAAATTTTTCATTACATCGGCATAAATGGATTATTTTCTCCTATGCTACGCCACTTTCTTTTAAGTGAAAGCAAACCAAAAGAGAAGTAAATATGAATATTATCTTGTATACACAATGCTTACCAACAGAAAATAAATTCCATATAAATCTTTGCCCACACTAATGAATTTGTTTTTATTTTATCTAAGGTTGCGGGAAACACATTATCATGGCATTTCAAAATCCAGTGATTGCGTTTAGTCAGTTTTTGTGTTATAAAACTGTAACATTATATTATTAGAATGTATACATTTAGGTTGAGGATTGATTAGCTTTACAGTATATAGTGTGTAGCTTATAGGCTACAATACTCTTCAGCTATCTCCTCGTGATTCATATTAGAAATGACTGTATTTTTATATTTGAATAAGATTTACCAGTCATACCTCATAAGATATGTTATTTTCAGCAGCCAAATATAGTTTATCCCTATAGTTTGGATATGGTTTATAAATGGTTAGGCAAATTGGAGATCGAACATGAAGAGTAAAATCGTTGATATGATTGCATTTTATGCGTTTATTTGTTTTTGTGAGATGTCAATCTGGCTTTAATAAAAATTTTCAGATATGTCAAATGTTGAGATGTAAGCGATTGTGTGATTATCAGTCAACAATTTAAAGCCAGATATGAAAATTAAAACGTGAACAAACCATGTAACGAAACGATTATGTAATACTATAGAGCTTGATGGAAATTCCACACCAGATCAAACTAATTCAACAATTTAAAATACTGTGTAAGGTTCATGTAATAGAAATATAACATTACCGAAGTAGTAGCTGCTCGACTTCTGGGGAAATTGACTCTATTGCTGCCCAATAGTCTATATGTAAAAAGATAACTATACCGACATGTTATACATGGTGTTGGTTTCGAATCCCCGTTTGTACGTGACAAGGAGTAGGGTCGCCTGTCCAACCTCGTGGGTTTTCTCCGGGTCCTCCGGTTTCCTCCCACTGCTAAAGACCCCTACGCGCAAGCGAATTATTGAAATAAAATTAAACCATATGTTAGTCCCGAAATGACCTAGTTTGTGTCGAGTGGACGTTAAACCCCATTTCTCTCTCTCTCTCTCTCTTTTGCATTTACGAGATAATGATAAATACCTCACCATATTATTACAGTACAGGACGTGACCTATTTAATATAAGTAGCATTTTGCCAAATAAAATTGCATGCAGAAATTATGCATACCATACACCATATTACTAGCTATCAGTTCAATATTTGGTAGAGATTAGTTGGTTTCGGGAATAAAGACTGGGAATCTATAGTTTTTACGATAAGTATAGCATAAACCATAATTAAACGGTCTTTATGGAAGCCCAATAATGACACTTATCTGTTAGTCTTTTACATGAGAGATACTTAAAGTTACCTTTCGATTACGTCATATATCATTGTGTGATTTGTCTAATTAAAGGCATACTATTTCAGATTAACAGACTTTCACATCATACCCAATAAAAGCATTCTTACTAAAATGCATTTTCGTCCAGAAACTACCCATTTCGACTAATCTTAACGGACGCTAACGGCTCTTAAAGTTTCCATTACTTTCTGTTGCAGCAGTTGTCCGTCGCCTTTGGTAGAAAGCATGGGGCTATTAAAACGGACCCTTCTACATGTATATATCTGTACGTCACACTTTTGGGACACAATAGCCTTGCAGTTAATTGGGGTAGAATGTGTAAACTTGGTGTATTTGTATATTAGGTGAATTCCTTGTAGTCTGGAGGCTCAGTGCGGAGGGGTGGCCATCATCAAATGGGCACAAAACCAGACCCAGCTATAGTAAAATTTCGTGTAGAATACGATGTCGAGTGGTAATCAGTCCGCCGTTGGGGCGTTTTCGAGATATTCGGGGTCAAATGTCAAATGAGGTCATTTGCACTGAAAGTGAATGCGCAGCCATTCTTGTATCATGAAAATAAGCTGAAAATGATCGAAAGTAATCACCCTTTCAATAAAAATGTAAACTTGCTAAATTCACTTTTGTTCTTTGTGACCCGGGAGGTCAAAGGTGAAATTTTCCGTTTTAGCACTAGGGAGATTTAAAGCAATAAATATACAACCTAAAGCGAAACCTGTTCTAATTAATAATAGTAACATTTAAAATGTATCTTAACGTGGTCTTAGCACCGAACTTTTCTTTTGGGACGTCGAAAAAGATCTTGCATAAAAGAACCAAAACACTAAAGTAAATGTACGGCGCTAAAACCACCTAAAGATAAATTTTAAATGTTCCTACTATAAAATAAATCAGGTTTCGCTTTAGTTTTTATATTTTACGCTGACATTTTATTGCTTTAAATCTTCCTTTTGCAAAAACGGAAAAATTTTCCTTTTGACATCCGGTCACTAAGACTAAATGTGAATTTAGCAAGTTTACTTTTTTTTATTGAAAGAGTGATTACTTTCGATCATTTCAGCATATTTTCATGATACAAGAATGGCTGCGCACTCACTTTCAGTGCAAATGTCTTCATTTGACATTTGACCCCGAATATCTTGAATACGCCCAAACGTCGGACTGATTACCACTCGGCATCGTATTCTACGCAAAATTTTACTATAGAAAAGTTTGGTCTGGTTTTGTGCCCATTTGATGGACACCCCGCGCACTGAGCCTCCGGTCTGTTAACTGAGTTCGATGACGCGCTGTGTTCACTAAGGCAACATAGATGAAGACGAAATTCGAAAATTGGTTTCCTAGCGATTGTTTAGCCCCAAATCATGTCAACGTTTGGTGACCATATAATCAGAACAGTTGGGAGGAGATGCATGTTACGCGAGATAGGTTGCTTCCACGAAAAATAGACTTTAATGTGCCACTTCCTTGATAATGCTTCTTTAAAAGTTCATTGATATTCATGTATTTAATTTGTTTGTATTTTGTAGGATAATGGTGAAATCTATGATGACGGTACAAATATAAAGAATATCAGTGTATCTGGCGTGGCCCAGAAAGCCGCCATGTTTGAACCTAATTCCAATAAAACAACCCCACCTGTCTTACGGCGTTTACGGCAACAGCAACAAGAAGAGGCCGCAGCTGGGAAGCCCGTTGCACCAATCAAACCGAACATTGGCTCAAAATCAACCACAGAAAATAGCTCACCGTCTTGGGTGGTTAAAAGACAGATATCGAATGGAAACCCGCCTGATAATAAAACATCGTCGGAACCAACGTTCCCAGCGTCACCGAAAACCCCTCCCAACATTCCAAGCAAAGGGAAATGGCCACCCGCAGGTAGCAAAACCCCAGATGTAGGCACAAAGCCTACCGGAGTAAGCGTAAAACCTTCTTCTTATGCTACTTCTAACATTCCACCTAAAACGATACACCCATCCCCTGTTCGAAAGGATATAAACGATAATGTAAAGAGTGTATCGGACAATGTTCAACCCAACATTACTAAAGGCACCAAACGTGCCAGCGTGACGGACATGTTGAAAAACTTTCAGGTGGAAAAGGGTGGCGCAGCTTCCGACCCAGTCGTAACCAAAATTGGTCCGTTAAAAGATTCAAAAAACAACAACACCACAGAAAAATATAAAGAACACAAACTAGAGAGCACACCTCCGCCAACCTCGCCAAAAAAGACATCAGTTCAAGAGATAATTGCTGCACTTAAAAAAGAGCCATCCGATCCCATAAGTCTACGTAAGGGACCAAATACACAAAAACCAAAAACTTTTCGTCAGTCTGTGATCAAACGTAATAAAGACAATAAAGAATTCAAACGTGTAAATACAAACAGCATACAAAGTTCGAATTCACCCCCACGAAAACCTTCCAAATTAACCGATATCGATTTAACCAAATTAAAAGATGATTTTAAGAAACTTTTGATGAAATATGGTAAGTAATCGGTTTATTTTATTGGACACATCCATATTGCCATGTTTTGTTTGTAATATGGAGAATTTGTAAATATTACAAGTAGAATCGATTAAAATAGATTAACAAAATTCCAAATGAGGAATTTAACAATATCATTCTATACAACAATCGGACAACACGATTATCAAAAATAGTTGGAATATATACACGTCGGAAATTACCGGAATTTATCGAGGAATGCCGATTGCTAAAGGTATAAATATTATTAGAAGTTTTATTTTGATAATAGTCTTTCCAATTGTGTGTTTCCATGTTAAGATATACGTTACCCTCGGATACCTTGACTGCATAAGTTGACTTTGACGTGCACTGGGGTGTAGTATATATTTCAAAGATTGAGAATAGTTCAGAAATGAAATAGGCATTAGTTTATGTTGGGCCACAAGTGCCGCTCCATACATATTTATTTCTAACGAGCGCTGTGATTGGTGCGATTACTGAGCTTGACATGTTGGCAAACTCGACTCAAATATTTGCCGTGATGTATTAGACCCCTCGAGTCTTGGTTTTTAGATGCGAAAAGTCACGAAGCTGACGTACTGCACCCGACATAATATTTCTGAGAAAACGGGACATAGTGTCTATTGACTAACTATATTAGCTGACATACTTAAAGATGCATTATGTAAGATTTGGATGAAGACCCAACAATTCTCGCTATAATAGTAAAAAAATAGATAATGAAAAGAGAAAATGATGAAAATATCAGTCAAATTACTTGCCGGTAGAAGAAAAGCGTAGTCCCGATTGTCATCGCTACCGTTGTTACGATGATAAACAAAGTCGCGATTATCCATTTTTTAATTAAATCATTAAATGGCAATCGTGTTTAAATCCGTTGAAAATCAAAAGCATTCGATGATCTATAGCGTTGAATATGGGCTTGACATGTGAATTAATGTAATTAATGATTTATATAACATTTGAGTCCAAACGAAAGATCTGCAGAAGGCAAATTTAGCTCTTACATAATGCATCTTTAATGTTTTGGATGTCAAATGTTATATTGTTACAATCTCTGACACACAAATTTACCTTTAAATGATAAACTAGAGTATCCTCTTAGTTTCCAATCTGTTATTTATCAGAATCTTTCATCTGTAAGAAACTGTAAAGCGATGATATTTTAATTGACAGGTAATAAAGACCGGGTCTCTGTAATAGATACAGGAGAGTTTGATGATATTTATGATGATGTTGGCAATGTTTGTATTAGTAATAGACCAGTTTCGGTAATGTGAGTATGGAATTTTACTTTTTGCTAATTCTTGTCAGTGTTTATATACCCACATTAATATGTCGCCATATTTTGCAATGGTTCGTGTCCATCATCCCGTCTAACTGTCCTCTACAATATCTGCTGACTACGTATTGTTTTAGATAAAGAATTTCAGAGCTTCCAATAACGTTCACAGTCTCATGACAAGCGACATCAAATCTAACAGAACACAGTTTTTATGGGATACAATCACTAGTTTATTCTAAAAGCACGACGTTTCGACAAGTATCCTCTTTTTTGTGCTTGATAACGATAAGAGGATACTTGTTGAAACGTCGTGCTTTTAGAATAAACTAGTGATTGTATCCCATAAAAACTGTGTTCTGTTAATGTGTTCCCCGATCATTAAATGCCACTTACAGAATAAGACATCAAATCTGGTTTAGCCAATTCACCAAATAGAAAAGTTCTTTTTATGTAGTTCACCCAGATTCGCAAACAGAAATAAAATGGGGTTCAACGTCCTACTGTTCTGCTCCGACTTGGCTAATGAAGAGGGAAATTTTGCACGGGCAGCGGCACTATGGCCTACTCTTATATCGAATTCCAAACGCCAAGGAATCTTTTACGTGCCAATGTATACACGCGACCTCGGTTTTTTGTCACTCCTAACGACTAGACAGCTGTCCTTGTCAGGCCCTGAAAGCCTTCTTATGCCTCTGTAGACCTTCTACTTTTATATAGAATTCCAACTGCCAAGTGATCTTTTACGTTCACGTCAATGTATACACGGGACCTCGTTTTTCCATCACATCCGAACGACTAGACAGCTGTCCTTGCCAGGCCCTCTGTCCTGCACCACTGACATTGGGAAACCACGTCGGAAAATCCCGATGAACTTTCTCGGCCAACCGGGATCGAACACGCGAGCTCCAGGCTAGCGAGCCAGCGTCTTACCCGCTAAGCCACCGTGGCTCCATTCGCAAACAGACTTGGGTAGGTGACTCTAGCTTCGCAGTTTAGACCTTCAATTTTTGTTATACATTGTATTTGGAAAATAGTTACAATGTACTGGCAAATAATTGACAGCGTAAAGCCAACCTAAAAATCATCAGCTTATATAATCCGACCTAGACGACTAAGCAGCTGTGGGGGTATGTTTCGTTGTCTGCACATTTTGAAAAAAGTTAAACATATCGGCTGTTTTCGAATTTTGGAATTAATCTTATTCGCGATCCTGGTAAAACTATTGTTTATACATCAATAAATTGGCACTGGTTTATATTTGACAGATTACCTATGACGGAAGAAGAAGAATATGATGATATTGGAAATACTAATAATTCAGGTATATTAAGGGGGATCAATTTACCATTTAAACGTTGTATACCTAACGTAATCAAGTTCTTTAAATATATCGTTTACAGCATAAAGACAGTGATACGTAAATTAGCATTAGAGGTGTGTTGCATCTTCGCGAGTAAAATTTTAGTCATAATCATTCACATAAAGCATATTATTTATTCATTTGTGTAGACCCGGCTGCTGTTGATGATGGGGAAACTTACGATGATTGTGGCGTCGGCGTGGTAAGTAACTATAGAATTATTTATTTTTAACCATTCAGTACAGTAAGGAATCGGGGTTAACCTATTTTCAAAACAATATTAATGTCATTTTGATATCAACTTTAGAACTGCATGAAATGTACGGTAATATATATATTTATTTTATGATCAGTAGTGGAATACCGCGTTTTATCAGTGAAATAAAAGTGTTATTCCACTGGCTAGCAGTAGTCCATGTTGTTTTTACCTAAAATGATTGTAAAATCATAAAATAAATAGAACATTTGTCGTTTTGTCGTGAATGTCAAAACAGACTACACCCTCAGTCGAATTTAGAGTTACAAACAGAAAACAAAGTAATATTCAGGGAATTAGGTCTTTGCATTTGACCATTAAACTTAAATTATGTATGTTATTATTTTGGAGTATCCATATACTAAACTTTATTCACATCGCTATAGTATTATGTGTGTTTACTTTCAAAGTTTCAGCCTGATCCTGATGAAATCTACGAACCGTTAGACGAAGAGTGAGTAACAAATTACATTTCTAGCCCTATCGGCCATTGGCTTATTTAGAAAATATTTGATACTTTTAACTGATGAGTGATTAAGGTCCCCCGTGCCTCTGGTTTAATATAATTTATACATTACAGAGCACTTATTAATCCTCGAGTATGGAAGCCTTTCTTCGTAAACATTTAGCTTAGGCTTTTGATACTGTTACCTGTTATATATTTGAAGGGAAATAAGCGGTGGGTCAGCAATATCTAAAAATAAAGATAACGACAAAGAAGCAGCCGAGAGAAAGAAAAGGGAAGAAAAAGAAAGAAAGGAACAAGAAAAAAAAGAACGAGAAGAGAAAAAGAAGAAAGAAAAGGAAGAAAAGGTAACAGTATATTTGAAAAAAAGTCAGCTTGATGTAACTTACACACAGCAGTGTTAGTGTGTATTTTTATGATAATTTATAATGCAATGATGATGATGTTTCTCGCCGATCAGTTTCTCGTCACCTGCAATTATTTTATATGTTATTCGAATTGTTATAGGATAGACAGAAAGAACAAAAGAAGAAAGAAAAGGAAGAAAAAGACAGAATGGCGAAACTGAAGGTAAGTATCGAGTACGTTATCTTAGCAAATCACGTTAGGTGATGATTAAATTTACAGTTGAAATTCTGATATTTTATCTTATTTACTAGGTAGTAAATTAGATGTACACTGTAGATTAAACTATTCTCATTATCACATGGTGACATGTACACCATCTGTCAGGAAGTACCAATTGAAATATCGTGACAGACATTCTACTAGGTCACAGTGGTCTCAATTTAATATACGTTTAGGAACGCAATTGAAAGAAAATAATTATAAAGTTTTCCCCTTCAATTTAATTTTATGTTATGATATATAATAAATTGCGATTTAGCTTCCTTTTATAGTAATAAATGAAAGGGATTGGGTTTGACGACTCGACAAGACTATAATTCGGTCATGTTGAGACTAATTCTGTATCTGCTAGTTTTATTCTGTCGTGTGCATTGCTATTAGAATTTTTTTGTCCGGATATCATTCAATTTGACTTATTCTACATTAGTGAAGCAACAACGACACTTTGTAGAATGCTATGGAGGCTCTAATAACACAATTTACTAATCGATCTGTCTACAATATATCTTCATTGTCTAAATTTGTCTGATTTTATGGGGGTTGGGTGGTCAAATGGTTAACGCGTGCGCGTTAGATTAGAAGGTCTGTCATTGCATTGACGTGACAAGGAGTAGGGTCGTGGGTTCACTCCGGGTCCCCCGGTTTCCTTCCACTGCTAAAGACCCCTGCGCGCAAGCGAATTATTAAAATAAAATTAAACCATGTGTTATTCCCGAAATGACCTAGTTTGTGTCGAGTGGACGTTAAAACCATTTCTGCGTGTGTGTCTAATTTCCTCAATTTTCGTTAATTGCTTCCAGTATTATCCCTCATTTTTGGAATCTTGTAAACGATTTAGCGACACAAGTTATCATTCGATTAGCCTTGCTCTCTGTGAATTCTCTAGGGTCAAAAGTTATCCCCTGGTCTGTATGAAATGTATGTGGTTTGACTTGTGATGCACGTTGATGCGGAAGTCTGTCTGTCCAACTTCTCCGGATCCTCCGGTTTCCTCCCACAGTTAAGGACCTCTGCGTATTTTGTTTTCATTCGTGTAGGTTGACGGTTCCGAGAAGAAATTAGGCGAAGGAATCATTAGAGAAGATGGGAAAGGCGCCAAACTTGATTTAGCAGTTAAGAAGGGTGATATGGTAACCATTATGAGGATGGATAATAACCCTAAAGGAAAATGGCTTGTGACCAACAAAGATGGAAAATGTAAGTAATATTGTATCTTTATTCCCCTTCAAGACTCTATACTATCTGATGATTATGTGATTGATATTCACGCCCATCAAGATATCAAAGATACCCGTCGGCAGACTGAAAGTTATAGTTGCGATTCATTTAGACAAGAAGTAAAAATCAACCAATTATCAAGTTATATAATATAAGCATCAATGGATACAAATGAAATGCCCAGTCTTGAAACAGTTTATCTGAAAAGAGGATTATTTTTCTAGAATCACTTGCTAACTGTTCGTCCCACTCATATCACAACATATTACATATCTTTTTAAAAGCTCTCATTTCTGAAGGTAATCATCATTAGTTAAAACGGTGATTCGGTGGATTTTCTAAACCAAACATTTTGTTTTTCCCGTTTTCTGTTGATCACTATGCTGTTTATTCACACGGGTCCTCAATTTGTCCACATTGCAATAAAAGAATAATTACATTAATTATATTTCCAAAGCAAAATAAAATCGACATAGTAAAAACCCTGATAGGTTACTGCAAGCAAACGCTGTGTCTATTCGATTCCAGGCGTATGTGGGATTGGTGATAATATGAAATGAAATGAAATGAAATGGGGTTTAACGTCCTACTGTTCTGCTCCGAACTGGGCTAATGAATATGGGCATACGCCATAGGCCCTCCGTCCTGCATCACTGACAAGGGGGAACCACGCCGGAAAATCTGAATGAACTTTCTCGGCCAATGCAGGGATCAAACACCCGACATCCAGGCTAGCGAGTCAGCGTCTTACCCACTTAGACACCGTGTCCCCAGATTGGTGATGGGTTTCTAAGATGTATCCTGCCTTAATGAGACAATATATATTTATTTATTTATTATTTCAGGGGGCTATGTTGATGCTGACAATGTTGAGGTAGCAACTCCTACTATACGCCAAGTAAGCTTGCTTTAGCTTTATGCATTGATATTTTAATTTTGAGTTTAATTTACATATACAGACAATGGTCGATATGAATAAACTCCGATATAGAAAGATACTACTGACAATCTATAATATTAGTTATTCGATATACTAGCGGTTTACAAAGAGTTGCACGGGTTGAGCTCTGGACCGAAATTGGTATAAATCCGAAACCGAAAGTGGTAGTGCAACACCACTAGGACCGTGTCACTACCCGGCTAGAGCTCCCCGTATACCACAGCGTGGGGTCATCCAAGTGTAGCCGCCAATCCCAAACAGACAGGCAGAACAACTGAAATCAATTAAGCAAATGAATAATGAAATTTGTTATCCAGTACTTGTACATTTCTATATAAAAACCTACATGTTCCAAGTTTTAGTATCAAGTTATATTTATAGTCGTATATATGTGAACTGTTGACGAATTTTCAAGTAAGAAAACATTTACTACATGCTCCACCCTGCATTAAATAAATCCATACCGCAACAAGGTGACCTAAGTTGGAATAATCAGTTCTTGTACAAACGAGAGTATTCTGTATTCCTGCGCAATTTATACACTTATGCTCTGGGTCGGTACCGTGAAATCATTGGTTTTTGCAAAAGGGTCCTAATGTTCAATAAAATACATCATCATTTAGTTTTCGGTTTTAGTTCCCACTGGAACACAATAACCAAGTGGTCTAAAATAAACTGATATGGAAAAAAACAAATGGTTTTGTCAAATTTAGCGAGAAAGCCAATGAGTTTCCAAGAATGTGCTACCACATATGCATCGTTTCCCATTTTATAATATGGAAAATAGTCCCATAATATAATCCACCCAGGAGAGTATTGCATGCATCGCTGAAACCCTCCACCTCCTATATATTCCTTCTTGGATATAATACTTTCGACATTGCATAATAGGTTTCGATATTTATTAAATTTGAGATTTTACTAAAAGTACAGATTTTGAACTTTATTACATATCTAAGCTTGCCATATGTATATCTAAAGCAACTATAAACTCCCAGATCAAAGTTATTTAGATAAATATATAGGTCTTCTCTAGAGGTAACTTCCTTCCCGTTGTGACAAAACTAAATGCTATGTTACTCAAATGATATCTAAATAAGGATCATAATTTAAATTCATATTGTTTTGTTGGCTTGATAATGAAACGTATGACAGTATTGACATAAACTACAGAAAATAGTAGCATTGTCATATACAAATTTATTGTGCCTTGCCTTTTATAGCATTGGTATAAAGAAAAATATATTGTGCCTTTTATAGGAATGGGTGAATGGCACCCCATATATATATATTGCTCTTTAGATGTATATAGATTATCTGCTATTGATAGAAAAAACACGTTAAGATCACATACAAGTATAATTTTTCCTAGTGCTTATGCTCATTGCTCACATCTACTGGATTATATTTATCTCAATCTGATTAAAACACAGATCCTATTTCATTTCGTTTTTTTATAGTTCAAAATATCGTTTTACTTGTCTTTACTTCACTAGGATCTGGAAGAGTTGTTGTTATATTACCGGCGTTTTGGTTGAAGTGAGGGATAAGCCAATGAAACGGTCTACGGCGACTTCTTGTCGTGCCGTGCACGGAACTGTGGGTAAACCATTAGAAACGTCAACGCTGATTGATTAATCAATGTCTGACGTCATAGGGTCAAAAGCCGCTCGTACGACCCCTGACACGACCTTCAAGCACAACTTGTCAGATCTTCATGTAGTGTGGGCCATCGAAATTATAATAAAACGAAACGAAATATAGATCTGTATTTTAATCAGATTAGTCCAATCTTTTTTATAATATGAATAATTTTGTTACTCTGTGATTATAAAATGTCTAAAAAAATTTCCTAACCACTACCTAAATCTTATTCTATATCAAAACTCTTCCTGAACTATAAATAAACTATACGAGGGTTTAATAAGTTACCGAACGTATGAAAACGATATAGTTTATTCATGAGACAGGCAACACTGATGTGGAAACATTTGAATGATACATATGGTGCAATCCATAAAACATTCGAAAAAAAGTAGGAACACTCCAGACACCGAATAGGAATTCTAGTTATTGATGGTCATGTCAATTTGGTGTTCAAATTACAATGCCAGCTTTTTAAATATTGTCATTTACTTCTAAGGTTATGATGGAATATATTATCAAAGAAACAAGAACAAAATGCATAAGTTTAGGAAGTTTGGAAT